CTTCCAAATTCCTAAGTCCCCAAATTCCCAAGTCCCCGAATTCCCACATCCCCAAATGCCCAAGTCCCCGAATTCCCACATCCCCAAATTCCCAAGTTCCCAAATTCCCAAGTCCCCAAATTCCCAAGCTCCCAAATTCCCAAAGTCTCAAAATTCTCACATCCCAAAACCCTAAAGCCACAAAATTCCAAAGTCCCAAAATTCTCATGTCCCAAAGTCCCAAAATTCTCACGTCCCAAAGTCCCAAAATTCTCACGTCCCAAAGTCCCAAATACCCAAAATCCCAAAGTACCAAAATAGCAAAATGAACTTCCAAAGTGCCACTCTCGTAAAAAGTAACTTCTATTACCCATTCGCAATCGAAAAGATCAAGGAGATCAATTTTATTAAAATCACCGAAGTGGAACTGAAAATGTGGGTCAAGGTTATTGAACAACACTGCACTATGTCCCAACCTCGCAATCTATCTATCTCCCAATCTAGACTCATTTTTCGTAAACTTGAAAAGAACAACGAGACACAATGACCAAATTTTTCAGCAATTACCAGAAGAGATTTTAATTAACTCGTTATTAAAGCCAAGAGTTCGCGAATACTTCAGTTCGAAGTATTACGTGGAGGACCACAGTTTCACTTTCACTTCGATCACACTTCGTACCTTGATTCTTACTGTACGTTGTACAGTACGGTATCGTGAAAGCGTTGTAATCGATTAATCAATTTGTCGATTAAACAACGAATTGTCGTTCCTTGAACATAGAAATTGAACGATTGCGATGTTTTCACAGTTGAAATTGCTAGATGCATCGTGGCGAAAGATGCAGTTTTGCAAGCGACATTCCAAGCCGTTCCTCACCGTAACCGTGTCGTACGTGTTCAACAAATTCATTTTCCGCATCCTGTCGCAAGACAAATGCAACACCCGCGCTATATCGTGCTTTGTACCAACAAATGCCACGGTTCAGGAAACGCGGATTTAAACCTGGCTAAAGTACCGGCTTCTTACCTGTTTCCGTTTCTTTGTTACACTTGGTACACGCTCTTCTTAACACTTTGATGCCACTGTCGTGTAATTGTGATTTTTACTATCTACTTTCTACACATTTATTTATCACCCCATTTATTCTATCGACTTGCTGTTTAGAATGCTGTTTAAATATTTATAATTGTGCAACATCCTTTATACTTGGAAATTTCTTTTGACAAAATGTCGTCCCCCAGTGAAGTTCAATGTCTAAATAACTAAAGCATAATTTTATCAGTAATATCTACTAAGTATATATAGACATTTAGGTTGTTTTTACAAAATTAAAATAAGTAAAATATAATAGACTTAAAAAATTAAATTCTTACGTTAAAAAAAATTACCATTAAAGTTATTTAAATAGGACAGTTAATCAGTTGAGTTAACGATTAGTAAAATTGAAATGCAAGGCATTGAAGTGCGAGAGGCGCAAAGCGAATAAAACATTGTAGCAACGAGCTAACTGAGCTAACACTTCTCGGTGAAGTATATCCACGGTCAACGAGTAATTATACTGATTGTTGCTTTTCAAGATGCGCGTCGAAGCAAAACAGTCGCATGTAGAAACGATTGCCAGGTTGGAAGAAGTCCAAGGGCTAAACGCATCCTTCGCCTACTGTATGATGCTCGCACGACTGACATCATTTAATACCACCTTGCTCTTGAAATACTTTTGGATTATCGAGTTTCAATAAGCTTGGGGTTTAAGATCTTTAGGAAGTCTTCAAGATTTTGAATGCACAAGGTGTTGAATACGTAAGATTTTGGATATGCAAGATTTTTGGTTGTTAGAGATTCAGGACTTTCAGATGTTCAAACTTTGATGTTTTAAGAAGCTTGAATTTTAAAACTTTATCAGAATTATCTTTTTAATCAGATAACTTTTTACCAAACTGTGCAATGGCACTTCGTATTACACTTCAATCTCACACAAGTCCTTCCACGGCAATACAACGAGACTATGCTATAACCATACGGAACCGTCCCAGCCGGCCATCACAAACTGCACACGTAGGAGGTCAATTAAACCACCGAATGACAATTAATTTCACCCGAATAAATATTAACCTGGTGCGAAGAAATTCATGAGTCATCACAATGGCCAGCTAATAAACAGGTCAATAAACTCCGGCACAGGATCTCGCAAAGCGGCAAGATTACGTTCACGTATCCGAGAACACGGAAGTGGGCGAGTCCTTTTCAGATAGGCATTTCATTGTCAACGAGCGTAGACTCCTTTGAGCGATACCGTTAACACGGAGCGGCACATAAATCGTAGTCACCGTGCATAATGATCGATCGTGTCGCGTGGACGCTTATCAAGATGTACAGCATTACGTGTAAGCGATCGAGTGAAACGTGCCGAGACATGTAGCGTGCATGCCTCGCGAGAAGTCTCTCCAGACGTAGCAGAGTTCTCACGTACTCTTCTATTTAATATATATCTAATTAGAATAGAAATGTAGGAATATAGGAATGCAGGAACGTGAGAGTATAAATATGTAGGAATGTGGGAGTCTCTGTATAGAGGTGTGAAGGGAGATGGAGAATTAGGGAGTTGGTGATATAGGAATCTGGGATAGAGCTATTTGAAATGTAGGAGTTTGGGGATATTGTAATTTGGAAATGTAGAAATCTGGGAAAATAGAAATCTGCGAATATAGCAATTTGGGGATGTAGCAATCTGAGGATATTGCTATATGGAAATGTAGAAATCTGGGAAAATAGAAATCTGCGAATATAGCAATTTGGGGATGTAAGAATTTGGGAATATAGAAATTTGCCAATATGTCAATTTGAAGATGTAGCAGTCTCAGAATATAGAAATCTGCGAATATATCAATCCAAAAATATGGAAGTCGAATACAATAACCTAAGTAAAAAAATTTAGAAAGATGGACAGATGAAACCATTCCGACAAAAAGTCAAAGGACGAAGTTAAGATTTCGTGAGTACTGAACAACTTATATTTCAAGGAGATTCAATGACGCTAGAGCAAATAGGAACCACATTCCTTTCACGCACAATCTTCAAAATAGTACTTACAATTTCTGACGAGCGTTCGTTCTTGATCTGCATCGTAAAAGAGGATAAACGGACGAACCTCGGTGAAACAGAGAGAAGAGTTCCACGAAGAGCCATGGTAGACCAAGGTGTTCGTCCGGTGTCCAGGAGGGGGCATGAAGGTCACGTACCGCTTTGCTCGTGCAAATGCCTCGACGACGTGCACCTAGACCTACAGAACAAGATAACTCGTTACTATCTGCCTGTAAGTTGGTTTCATCGCGTGTGTGCACGCGTGCAGATGTGGAGAGCCGATGGAAAGCAAGTTCAAAATACTACCGGAGACCTTGCGTTTCGATTGAGAGATAACCGTTTTGTCCATCGGGTCGTTTGCTAAACAGCGATGAAATAGTGACTTCAATTATAACCGAGGTATGATTGGTAGTGTGCGATAGCGGATTAGAAATTCGACCTTCGTATCATTTATAGTCGTTTGAAATTCAAGAATTAACGATGTAAGTACTCTTTGAATAGATTTGCAAATCTATGAATTCAGCCTATAAATTACATGGCTTCGATACACCATAAATGCATAAAAAATAGTGCAATAATTATTTGTTAGAATTAGAAAGTTATATAGGAACAAAATTAGAGACCCAAAGGAGCTAATCTTCAAATAAAAATCCTACGCCAATGTATCTGCCAGGCAACGAAGGTCATTTCCGTTCAAGACCAATCGTCGTTAGAATTGCAAATTAACACTTGGTTCCCGAAATACGCGCGACGTTGAGGATAAATGCGCTAATAGTAGCTGAGCGTGTAGCGAGCTCGTAGCGGCGAATGAGCCAACTACCTGTCTAAACGTTGAACGACCTCACCGTCCTTCCAGCTTCCAGCAGTTAGTGTTAGCAGTTTGGTTTGGTGTTGCAGGTGGTTTAGCCGCAGGCAACCGCGAGAGATGTGGTCGCGAACGCGATTCTTGGTCCTGGCTTGGACGCTCGCGTTGCTGGTTGGCGCGCGGGTTAGCAACGGGTCGCAGAGGCCGCGTCTCGGCGGTGCCGTCAACATCTTCAGCCGATACGGTTACCTGAGCATCAGCATGAGAGTCGTGCCGAGGAACGACACCGACACCTGGATATCTGACGAGCGTTCGTTCTTGATCTGCATCGTAAAAGAGGATAAACGGACGAACCTCGGTGAAACAGAGAGAAGAGTTCCACGAAGAGCCATGGTAGACCAAGGTGTTCGTCCGGTGTCCAGGAGGGGGCATGAAGGTCACGTACCGCTTTGCTCGTGCAAATGCCTCGACGACGTGCACCTAGACCTACAGAACAAGATAACTCGTTACTATCTGCCTGTAAGTTGGTTTCATCGCGTGTGTGCACGCGTGCAGATGTGGAGAGCCGATGGAAAGCAAGTTCAAAATACTACCGGAGACCTTGCGTTTCGATTGAGAGATAACCGTTTTGTCCATCGGGTCGTTTGCTAAACAGCGATGAAATAGTGACTTCAATTATAACCGAGGTATGATTGGTAGTGTGCGATAGCGGATTAGAAATTCGACCTTCGTATCATTTATAGTCGTTTGAAATTCAAGAATTAACGATGTAAGTACTCTTTGAATAGATTTGCAAATCTATGAATTCAGCCTATAAATTACATGGCTTCGATACACCATAAATGCATAAAAAATAGTGCAATAATTATTTGTTAGAATTAGAAAGTTATATAGGAACAAAATTAGAGACCCAAAGGAGCTAATCTTCAAATAAAAATCCTACGCCAATGTATCTGCCAGGCAACGAAGGTCATTTCCGTTCAAGACCAATCGTCGTTAGAATTGCAAATTAACACTTGGTTCCCGAAATACGCGCGACGTTGAGGATAAATGCGCTAATAGTAGCTGAGCGTGTAGCGAGCTCGTAGCGGCGAATGAGCCAACTACCTGTCTAAACGTTGAACGACCTCACCGTCCTTCCAGCTTCCAGCAGTTAGTGTTAGCAGTTTGGTTTGGTGTTGCAGGTGGTTTAGCCGCAGGCAACCGCGAGAGATGTGGTCGCGAACGCGATTCTTGGTCCTGGCTTGGACGCTCGCGTTGCTGGTTGGCGCGCGGGTTAGCAACGGGTCGCAGAGGCCGCGTCTCGGCGGTGCCGTCAACATCTTCAGCCGATACGGTTACCTGAGCATCAGCATGAGAGTCGTGCCGAGGAACGACACCGACACCTGGATATTCCGCGAGCCAACCTTGGACGTGTTCAGGAATCCCGTCCCGGTAGCAAGCAGGCAACGGCAGCAAACGGCCGCGGTCTTCGACGGCGATTTCCACATGGAGTTTTGCGACAACATCCGTCAATTGTTGCAAGCCTACTTCCGGGACTTCACGTTCGAGAAGCTGGAGAGACCGTGGCGAGCGTTCACCAGCAGCTGGTCCAAGGCTGCCATAGCTCGCCATCTGGGCATCAACTCGTCCTTTATCACCGGAGAACATTGTTACGTGCTGGTACGAGTCGCCAGGTTCCGCGAGAACCAGAAGCTGACTGCCACAGCCGACTCGATGATCCTCGACGAAGCTGTTCTTAGGGAAACGGAGAACGTTACTGTTGGAGATACAGCGAGCGTCGTACGGTTCATCAAACACTTCGGATCTCACTACATTGCCGCTTATGTCACCGGGAACTCTTTGTACCAGGTGAGTTTGCTTCCGTCGGACGTTGTTGTTATTTGGTGCGATCTTTATGCTCTAGAAGTTACTCTGATGAAAATAATGATCTAGGGAAAGGAGACCGCATTACTCGTTAGTTCTTGGTTGCACAGTTTTCTAATTTATAAACTTTCAAATTTGGAACTTTAAAACGAATATTTGAGAATTTGATAAATTTTGATAATGTAGGAATTTAAAAATTAAAAGATTGAAGTTTCATTTGTAACACTAGTTATACATCTTGTGATGAAAAGTTTATCCGATCGAAGTTGTGCTTGAGAACCGTTTATCTTCTCTCGCATGCAATTTTGCATCGTGCCGTGTACGAGTAGATAACAATTACATAATTTTTTCGTTTAGCACTTATAACATCATGTTATTGTGAAGCCAGACTCATAATACCCGTAAATGCCTCTATCAAGAACGAGTCCTTGTTCATTGACCACTACGTCAGCGAATTACTTTTTATAATCTTGTTTATGTGTACCTTTTTCTTTTAACAAAATTGACAGTGTCTTGCGCAACACAATTTATGATGGCATGAAATTCATCGCTTCGGGATGTTTCAAGAATCAATTACAACGTAACCAGCATCTTCAAAGCAGTGTAGATCGTGTAACGTTAGCAAAGCAAAATTATCCGTTGCATAAAACTTAAACGCCAGTTTAACGATTGGCAAACGGGATAATGATACCAATGTTGGTAATCAAACGATTTCGATCTCCCACGAGAAATACGAGGATAATAAAAACAGTCAATGATCGCTATCTAAAGTCCGGGTTCCCATGAGCGGGCCGCTAAATGTTTTCCGTGGAGTCACAGTAATTATTTCTAATTGCAATTATTCTCGGAACGAATTGCACTGTAAACATTTTCACCATTTATTCAATACCAAAATAGCTACACTGCAATCCTATTACATTCTCACAATGCTCCTAAGAATACAAGAATTCAAATTTTTTAATTTCAGAGTCTTTCAGCTTTCAAATTTTCAGAGTTAAAAATTTAGACATTTCAAAATCCATCTTTAATAAATTAAAGTTGTATTAAAATTATTTGGCGATTATAGTATCTATAGAAGAGTATACAGAAGACTTATCGGTTTCAGGTGTTCGTGTACACGCCTCAAGCGTACTTGCGATTGAAAGAACGCTTGAAGACGCGTGGCGTTGCGGATCTCTCGAATCGGGAATTAAGCAACTTCTTCTCGCCGTGGTACGCGGAGCACATGGGTTCCATACAAGCCGCGAGCGGAAACCGCACCGTCGAGACGTGGGCGGTGGAACACCTTCGAAATCAATATTACATTTTCTCGTACGCCAGCCTGCTAAAATTGCACGGGGACGCGTTGTTGCTGAAGCAACTGGACGGGCTGCTCGGTGACGAAGCGTTGTTACAGTTGCAATTGCGAACGCTGGCTCCGATCTTCAAAGATCCTCAGCGACGCGACTGGTTCCTCGAGGTAATCGACAATTACTCGAAGTTGTGGGAGGTGAACACGTGAATTCGTGTACCGATCCTGAAATGGACGAAAGAGCCTCCTACGTTTTCCTTGCGTGGTTGAATCCGCTCGTTGGAGAACCACGGTACGCGCGTATCTTCAACAAGATGGAAGAAGCGGCGTCAACGAAGATCGATCATTCGTTACTGCAGGACAATTACAGTTTCTCGATCGTCGATCAAGCATGGTACACTGTGGAAGTTCGCTGTTGTTCCTTCATCGAACGAACGCTAGGATTTAATAGACAAAACCATCCAACTACTATGTTGTTATAAATAAGTATTTATTATCATATAATCGATGATAGAAAACATTTTTATACAAACGTTTTAAATATATATATGTATATGTATATCACAAGCAATTTTTGCAAAAATGTTTGACTGAAAAAATCACGACTTCTTGTTTCTGCGTTTTATATTCTTGACATTTGCCTTGGATCATAACTTCAGTTACTTCGAGAATTAATGCGGAAACAGGAATCGTGATTTTTTCTTCTTCGTGTTTTTGATTTCTATTTTCGGTGGACGAAACGATACGCGTGAAAATAAATTGTCTGCGCGATATTTTATACTCTAGGATAAGTTTTTATCCTTAGAAAATCCTGAATGATTCGATGTAAGTATTCGAGTATACATAAAAGTGAAGTTAACTTATATTTATCGTAAAAGGAAATTAATATTCAGTTTATTGGCACGATGGAACGTTGGTGGAACGGATGGAACTTTTTTAAAAAAAGTTGCTTTATTTAAAGATGACTTTTATCACGAAAGAAAAACTTTAAACAATGCAAATAACAATAGCGTGAAGTAAGTCTGACAACGAAATTGACATAACAAATTCTTCAAAGAACAACCGTTGAAAAATACATAGTGTATTATAAAAATCAGTATTTTCGTACGTAATTCGATTATGCGAAGCATAAATTATTCTTTAACCGATTTTCAGAATAACGAAAGAAATCTAAAGTACTCGCACTTATTAATTTTTATAAAAGTTTACAGATATGCTATGTATAAAATTGTCAATATCATTAAACTGCATTTTCGAGGGACAATAATTACATATTTCTTACATCCTATCTACAAAATGTGATCAGACGCGATTAGCACGAGCTCTCGAAATTTCTTTGCATGTCAACATATCATAAATAAAATGTAACAATACTTAGAACGTGTACGAAACAAATTGTAAAAAACGTTTTTTTAAAATTTGATTGTTTCTAACTAGAACGATATCTTTATGGATAAATTCGTAACAATATCAGTGTATTTTTCTATCTCAAGAAATATTGACTGTGTTAAGATTAGTTACTGCAGATAATATATAATAATACTTAAACCCGAAATTCAAATATCACATTGGTTATTGACAGTGACACTGATTTCTATTTTGAGATAGAAGATAGTCTCGTTGTTAGCTACAGATCCTTGTACGAACATTTGTGCATTAAGCTCAATCAGTTTTCTTAAAAGTATGTAATTTTGCGGACGCTTGTTGTTCTCTACCTAATTTCCTCCCATTCACAACCAATATAACCGGAGTTTCAACACGTATAGATTTGAAGTCAAAGTCCTGAAAAAAAGTTATACTCACATAATTGCTATTAAGTTTCAGACAACATATCATCGTTAAGAATACGAACATTGTCGAGATAAGAAAATTTTTGATGAATCACGAACGGTTCAGGTATAGCAACAGAATCCCCAACGGTTACTCCACGACCCTTAGCAAGATTATATACCGTGACAGCCATACAGGTTTTCTCTTCGTCAACGAAACAAAATGCGCTGGAAAATTGAATATGTATTTATTAATTTAGATAATAAATGCTCGTTTTCTTTTTTTAAATGTTAAAAGATACACTTACAAAGGGACGCAATCTGTGTCTTGTATCCAACATACTACTTTTCCAAACACAACTTTCTCAGGATTTAGTCCAAGAGTTAAGCTTTTCAATGATACTAAATCTAATTTTACAGTCTTCTGTCCAGACGTGAAAGAGCCACCCTTATATGGTCCCAAATGCTTAACATCCAATGCCTACATTTAATCAGAAACCTATAAATATGTATACGTACCAGTATCACACATTACACTTATGCAAATAGTATATTTTAATGTCATATATTTAATCATTAGAAGGTGTTTTATAAAAATAATTTTTGTACCCGTATCATTTGGAACAATCTTTTTGGTTTTACTTTTCCATTATTGTTTACTAAATTTTGTACATCCTTCAAGTATTGTAACAATTCATCCCTTTTGTTACGTGGTGTTTCCCATAATGGATCTAGTAACATTGCTCTTTCAAATGATTTCAATGCTAAGCAATATTCTTCTTGATATTTTAAGGCCTAGTATTATAATTATTTCACATAAATAAAATTCACTAGAATTTTGCATTCTTGCTAATAAAATACTTACCACTGCCTTATTGTGAAATAAATCAGGATTACTTCCTGCTACAATGTCTTTCTCCTAGAAATGATTTAAATGCTGTTAATATTGCAATGCTTAATAGAAATATAAATTGATGTTATTGAAAACAACTTACTGCTTGAACATAAGCTGACATACAAAGACGTAAAGTTGCAGGATTTTGTGCTACTGTAAAAAAGGAAGACAAATATGCATTTCCAAGAATTGCCCATGAAATTCCATCTGTTGTATCAAGACTAACTGCTTCTTTAGCATGTTCTACACCTTTTTGGATATTTTGGATTCGTTGTTCAACAGTAGAAACTGATTCTTGTCTGAGTACCATTGACAAATTTCTTAAAGATACTTTATTTCTACCCTAAAATATTTGTAATTGTGTTCCAATCATATGACAAGGTATTAAAATTGGTGAAGTATAATAATGTATAATTTTTATAATTTTACATGGCGTAAAGCACCAACAAAACAATTTTTTGCTTGTTGGATATCATCATTTTTCCAATAACATTCTCCTAATTCATTCCATGCTTCAACTAAGTTAGGTTCTAATTTCACTGCTTTAGTTAATAATTCCTCTGCTTGAGATATAAACCGTTCTGTAACATTTAGTGCTTTCCCTTTTAAATAATAATATTTTGCTCGTGATCCATCGATTTCATATCCTTTACATTCATCAAACTTATTCAAAGTATCTTTCATTTCTTTCTCTACATCGCCATTCTTCTTAATTGCTTCTTCAATAGGATGGTTTTCGAAATAATGATCTCGAAAAAAATATAATGCATTTACTTTCTCCTAAAATAAATGCCCTGGTATTAAAAAGTATAGTTAAATAAAAAGATTTAGATAAAACTACAAAAAAATTAAAAACGTTATTTTTTATGCATGACCAGAAAATAAGAAACTTCTTTCATTACATAAATTCCATGTTCGAAACAATAAATATACCGTCAGAGCTACAATAGGATCTTCTTTGACAGCATTTCCTGATTTTGCTCCGGCAACCACTTTGTCATCTATAATTGCGGACATTTTTTAAAATACTCTAATAAACAATTATATCACATCAATTTCATTGTGCATCAGATACGCGTGGCGTTTACAGCCTCATACATAATTTACAATAATCTACATACAAATTAACGCTTAAGTAAAGCAGAATATCATTCGTATATAAACTGTCAAAGATCAAGAAAAGACCAAACAGGTTATGTATTAATATTAATGTAGCACTGGTGTAAGGTAGTATCCGCAATGAAAACGAACGTCAATTAACGTCAAATATTTTATTATAAAAAACGTAACAATAAAATTACAAGAACGTACGCGCAACTGTGTGAAAAAAATTACAACGATAATCACGACAAAACAATGATAAAATTCGTGGTAAGCTTTATTCGCATGTTTGTCAGATTCTTTATTTCGGAAAAGAACCGTAACGCTAAATGATAGTTTTTCGTTTATACTGCACAGATCTCTTCTGATTGGTTCTAACTGACGCAAGCGTTCTGACATTTACGAATTCGAATGTGTATATATGGTGATCCTTTATTTAGTATATTCGTCTCGTTAAATTTAACTAATAAGAAGCTGAATAAGTCTTTTATATGAAGTATGATCGTGCATATCTTTATCGAGAAATATAATTCTTGCTATTCAATGGTGTAATTAGAAATTTGGGAATTTGAGGGTTTGGCAACTTAAGAACTTGTTTATGTTTGTACACCGTATATGTGAACACGAAGTAAGAAACAGGCGATAGATGAGCACAACGCTAGTAATAAACAGTCTTCTGAATTCAACCAAGATGCGCAGGACTACTATTGCTGTTGTGGAACGAGTATACATCAGTTCCAGGAGTAGTACCAAAATAATCCGAGCGTGGCGGTAACGCCCTTTCCACTTCCACCTGTCGTGAGCATCGAAGGTGGTGACTAGTTCATTCGTGTACTCCGTGACCGAAGCTTCCCCAGAAGGCTGCATCGTCTCAGGATCGCCATTTTATGTGTTTGGCTCTGAGACTGGGACGGTGGGTGCGTGCGGTGCATACTACAGAGCGTATTCCGTGCATTATCTGCAAGATGTTACCCAAATACTTTGCGCCCGACATGTACAAGTAACGACAGGTGTCGGAGTGAGTGGATCGGGCAGCGAAGGCTCGGGCCGAAATGGTCCCGGAATAGTGAGCTGTGCGTGAGTGTGTTTTCATCGAGTTGTGCGTCGCACTGGCTTTTCACTGCTGTCACCGTTTGTTAATACCTGTGCCATTTGAAAAGTCGGCTTTGGGTCAAATTACGGACGGCCTCTGGATTCCTTGCGACACCCTCGCCACCATCTACGATGAGTTCGCGCAACATACCCTCAGACAAGGTGAGTTGTCACTTCGTCTAATATGTCTACCGCACCCTTCCGCCTCCTCTTTCTGCTTTATCCTTCGCATCCACGCAATCCCTACCCGCCGTTCGATACCTATCCTATACTATGTCTTTACTTTTATTCGCTAAAAGTCACGGTCACGAAATCCTTACTGCGTGAAATTTTTCACCGATCAATGAGAGATGTCTTCCTCTACATATCGCTTTTTTTTTTATTAAACGGATGTGCACCCTCGCAATAGCGATACTCCTATCTTTTACTTTTTGCTCTTCCTTCGTAACAGCTTTCTGTTATGTTATAATTAATGTTCCGTTGTACAATTAAATAAATTCGACAAAATGATTCGACACCCGAACTTTAAATGGACGAAATCAAATTTCGCGCGTTATTGTCGCACCAATACGTTTTTATACTCCTTCGATCAATTACAAATCGAGATACGATTTCACGCTCGAGGTACGTACAACGACGTGTTCATCGCCGGTTGCGAATTTACTTCGTGCTTGTTTCGAGTGCTGTCACGAGGTTACACCCGTAATTAATTAATGAACGGTTACCTTTGATTCTCGACGATTGTGTCTACTCGGGAACACTACACAATATCACCGATGCTTTTTCCCTTTTTTCGCGTCGAGAGCTCACGCTGTCGGCTCCGTTCCACCTCCTTCTCGTCCCCTGTGAATTAATTGTGTCGTGAAAGTCGTGACGGGACGTTCTCCACGCTTTGAGCTAGCTCTCTGGATACGTCGCGTTTTCTTTTTTTTTTTTTACAAAGTTGTCGCGCGAAGTGCACTCGTAGCCGGTCAGACGAGGCTGTTTAATTGGTAGCAGTCGCATCAAAGGATAAATGCTTTGTGTTCGGTGGTTCTTCGTCCCCTATCGATTCTCCACTTCACCTTTTGTTTCGCGTCTCGATATTATTAAATCAACGGGCCGTGGTTACGTTGTGCAGAGCGACGCGGAATATTCGCGCGCGCGCGGACGAGAGACCGACATCGCGGCCTATTCCGCTAAAAATACCCACGCATCGAAAATTCAACCGCATCAATGACGCGTAAAATAGATGCTAATCAGATATGATCGTTATCAGCCGATTTAACTAATTACGAAAATCATTTTCCTATTTTCTCCTTTCATGTCTTCAAATTATTTTTGGTAACTTTCAGGAGGCCTTCTTAAAAATACGTCTCAAAATTTGAAAAACTATCAGATCTTTTATGTAAGTGTTGTTTAAAAAGTATGAGAGTTGAAGGTCTAGTGTTAAATTGAGTATGCTGTCAATTTTGGTGACTCCATGAAAACTGTACGCAACCTTTTTTTCGATATTGGTGCTTTGGCAGTATGTTTGTTGTTGATCTTTCGAGAGTGAAAGTTAGAATATACCTAGTGGTTTCTGAACTTAGTATGCAGTACAGTTTATGGCTTCTGAACAGAAAAACGATGTACAGGGTGCTTCCAGAAACTAGGTCGAGCTGTGTGGGTATTTCGTAAGTGACAATGGAGAGAATAGACGGGGATATGTCGTAAGGCTTTGGGAAGTTGTTTTCCAATAACTGTTTCAGGATGTGTATCAAGCGACACCATTTTTCAACATTTGTATAAATTGGATAGTAAAATAATTCCAATATTTCGATACAAGGATAGCGCGAGACGTATGCATTTAATAGTTCATAAGAAACTGTAGCAACAAAAACCTCACACATCTACTTTTTAATTTTATTCATCCTTGACTGGAGCACGAAGGAAAATAATGAGAAATAACACAGTGTCGGAGTAATTTCTGTGACGTTACCAGCGCGGTAAAAAAAAAGAAAAACTTGTGAATAGAAACGAAGGCAACGGTTCATTACCGACTTCCGTGAAATAGTTTGCTGAAGGAAAACCTGAAAATCAACTCGTTCATTCGATTCGATGGAACTACCTGTTTCGTGTTTCGCCGCGAAAACGTCGGGCAACGGATAAAATAATTAAATGATAGAGTATCTTTAGTAGGAACGAGGCTGAAAGGCCGCGTTACTCTCGCGACCCGCCAACGGAATAGTACGTTCGCCATGAATTTCAATTTGCGCGATTAATTGTAACGAAACTAACCTTCTACGGGACCGCAATTCTCCGTGGATAACATTTCTTAATTGAAAACTCACTGTAGCGGAACACTACTGTTTGATCCTTTCTTTTTTCATCTACTTTTCCATGCTGTTTAATCATACAAACAAAACCGTTTGTAACGAATATTTGTATGCAATTTGCCTGATTCTTAAGCATCGTAACACGTCTCAAGTATTTCACGGTTTTTGAATAAACATCTACTGAATATGTTTACTAAAATAACATTCGCTTTAGATTTATTAACTTGAAGTAAGGAGTTCTTGTAATGTAGTGTTTTTAAACGCTTTTGTATTAATAATACAAAACGAGTACTTACTGATTCGCGCATGCGCACTCGGCCTGTACTAGTTCTGCCGCCATATTGGTATTTTGTCTTCACAAACATGTTCGTATACTGATTATATGATCAAAAGGGTTCTGTAAATAATAAATACAAATGTTTCAATTCTCGAAAATGGCGTTTCGAGTTTCGTAGCAGGAGTTCGATATTAATAGTTACGTTGTAACGGTGAAATATGTTGATTGAGGAATCTTGTGAAAAAAGTACGTGATTTATCAGCGTTGGTTGTTCCGTTGGAGAGTTTCGTGGCGAGGTCCTCTGGTCGAGAGAGGCTCGAAAAGGAGGCGTTTTAGAGGGGACGGTTACGTCTCGACCGCGATCCATTGTCGTGGATATCGAGCAAAGCACGGTCAAGGTCGATTAAAGAACAGAACGAATACATTTCTTTTCTTCGTGGAAAGATGAGGGATCCGGGTATAAGCGGCCACGGACAATACGAGATGATGTTTCTTGTAACGAACGCGTACAATAAAAACCGTAGCGAGAGGCTGGCTGCTTTTCTAACCGTTCGTTTCGATCGTTGTCGTCCCTCGACCGCCAGGAATAGAGAAAAAAAAAGATCGAGCTGTCCGTTGCTATCAAAGAACGTCCAGCAAACGGATCAAGGTGAATCCGCTTTTGTGAAACGTCTAAATCGATATTTCACGCCTAGCCGCGTTTTTCCTTCCTTTTTTGGATACGTACGAGGTTCAGGAAAATGGGACAAATTGCTACAGGGATCATTCAATTTTATTTCTTATAGGACACTACCGTGAATTACCACGATTTCTTATTATGATTTTTATATGTTTTTCCATTTTTTCCGCTACGAGGATGCTTGATTTTGATCTTTGTTTGAAATTCAATGTAAATATTTTTACTCTATTTTTCTGCATCGGAATATCGAAGTGTAAAATTGCTGTTTCATTTGAAAGGCAGATACGCTTATAAGCCATCAATTTCCTAACTCCAACATAATAAAATTGCTATATTTATGTTAATTGCCGTGTTTGCCGAGTATCGTGTTTGAATGTATAGAATGATTATCATGCATGATCGTAGTATACGTGCACGTATTAAACCCGAAGTCAATAAAATGTATGACAGTGTTATATTTCTGGCCCGAGGAAATTATACCTTTAACGATATAATTAATGAGATACAATTAGTTAAATTAAAAGAAAATTAAATAGTTAATTAGATAGTTTCTGGAATATTCATTCTAACCACCATTAATGAATATTGCTCGATTTACAATTCAAATTACACAATTACTCTCAATTGCAAATACTGAAAGCAAATGCAACAGTATTGGATAATACGATCTGTGAATAAATTTAATCTTAAGAAGTTTTGAAATAAGATGCTAGAGAGCGCACGCTATCGCGTCCACTACGAAACATTTAAAAGTAGGCTCGGAGATCTTTTAGTCTTTCACGGCCCAGTTAAAAACTATTAGAAATTGCCGGGTGCGAACCCTTCCAGAGAATAATTTTTATGCTCTGAAAGGCTCTAGACGGCTTTGAAACGCGTACTTCGAAAAGGGATTAATTTTATTTCCTCTTTAATGAAAATGAAATTCACTCAATTCGCGTAGGTTTCTTGAAACAAGAATACGGAATAGTAAATTTTGAATTTTCCAAATTTCTAAGTTTCTTCACCTCGGACTGTAAATTTGCAATTATCCAAATTTCCAAGTTTCTTAACCTTAAACCATAAATTTTAAAATTTTTGAATTTCTAAATTTTTCTAATTTAAAAATCTTGAAATCCCCAGTTTCCCCCAAATGTCTAAGTATTCAAACTTGTTAAATTTCTAAAATTCCAAGCCTTCAAATCGTCAGCGATATAAAAGGCAATATAACGAGAGTCTACCGTAGTATCAAAACCAGTCTTATATCCTATTCGAATTACGAAAGACCCTATAGAAGTTTCCGGTGCATCAAAGAGTCGATAAAGGCAAAGGGTTAGATTCGGGCGTTTTTGCCAGGCAAAACCGGCGTTTGATGTTTCTTTTCGAAAGTAGATCGAGTCTGAGAACGGCCATTCTCGGTACGAACAGGCTTTTTGTGGGCAGTGCGGTCAAAAGTTAACGTTGCCTATTGGCGCTTCTGTCTGGCTTTTTAACCGAAGAGAGGGAGTCTCTACTTTTACGATATATCGTGACCCAGTGAATAGCGAGAAGAGGCGAAATACGGGTCTGAAACGCGATTTCCGAGGCCAGCACTCTCGATCCGCAACGTGGAACACGATCGACGCGTTCCATTTCTCGAAACGGACTCAGGATCAAGGCAAACTGCATGACCGATGCGGGAACCTCGTTAAAAATCGTGGAAAAAAACACCCATCGCTCGGATTTTTCTCATGCTGGTAGAATATTCCGAAAGCGATCGAGGGCTCGAATCGTGCACGTTTTTTCTTGCTGAGAAATCCGACCGTGTCACGTACTACTCGTAAAACCACGTTATCGTTTCTTTCTCCGAGGTCTGTTTTTCCTTCACGTTTTTCCCGCTTTCGAACGCGTCGCTTGAAACAATTAAGGGATCGGTACACTCCACGAAAGTAAAATAAACATCTGGAAAAAGATGGGGATTCTTTGCGAGGCCACGACTTTTTACGGCGGGAACGACATGAAATTCTGTGCACGGGTCTATTGTTCGCTCAAGGTACGCCGATCGAAGGACTGTCACTCTTTTATCTCTTTCATCATGTCGATACGTGCCTCTAATTCCTTGATTTATACTTTCCATGTTTAGCGGGCTCGTGGCTTTTGTGGAGGTGGCCTCTTTCGGGATTTATTTCTAATTTTTTTTTTTTTTTTTTTTTTTTTAATTTTTTAATACTCAATAAACTGGCAAGTTGTCAAACTGTCATGACGTCAAAATGACAAAATATTATGATGTTAAAATGACAAGAAGTCAAAATGTCAGAATGTCATGATATCAAAATGTCAAAATGACAAGATGTTAAAATGTCAAAATGGTAACATGTCATGATGTCAAAATGACAAGATGTCATGGTGTCAAAATGACAAGATGTTAAAATGTCAGAATGTCATGATATCAAAATATCAAAATGATAAGATGTCAATTTGTCAAAATATCAAAATGACAAGATTTTGTCAACATCTCAAAATGACAATCTAACAAGATGTCAAAATAACATTTTGTAAACTTGTCAAACTGTCAGCCTATCAAGTTGCCAAATTCTGATTTCATCAACTTGTCAAGCTACCAAACCCAAATTATCCAATAGAAAATCTAGAATTTCTTTACATCTTCCACCTTCCCAAACCAGTAAATTTAACAAGTCATACTTGCAAATACCAATTCAACTTGCAATACTCAAAATCCAAAATTTCCCCGAAAAATCTACGTTCATCCGAAAGTACTATAACTACTCTGTAAGCACCCTATATATCGTCGATCCATTTAATCTTGCCATTCATCTTTCCATATTGCTGTTCATGTATATTACTAAGTAATATATTCAATTTAATATCTCGAATACCCGTGTCCTAAAATTCATGTACCGTATCCCTGTCCCGTTTCACGAGACATCGAATAAATTACAACACAGCGAGAGGGGTTCACTCGGTGAACGTAGTTTTTACATAACAATGTTGTATCAACGTTTACGTGGCGGATAACCGCGAATATACGACCCTTACAAGACTCCCTCGAGAATACTTGGCTCTCCCGTGCACTGCACTCGCAAAACTCGTCTTGAAAACGTTCCCCCCTACTCTTCGATTCTATTTTAAAAGACTTGTTCTTTCACTTGCCGGGCTAAACACGTGGCGTGTTTACACGCGTACTACGGAAAGAGCTCATTAATGGAAGGCGGTGGTCACGGCTCATAAGGAACCGGTCTTGTTTACGTACGAAGCAAATAAAAATTGTTCTCTGGCACTCTTGTTTGAGGAAGAGGCGCTTTTTCTACGTTAACCCCTTGATGACGGATCATTTATGTACTTATCGCATGATGGGGAGCTGGTAGTTTTTGTAATGCGTTTGTATGCAAGGTTTTTGGATCTTTTTGATGGGGTGATTTTGAAAGTTTATAGGTGGAAGGGGAAGTGATGTTTGAGGGTATGGAGAAGGGATCTTGTGAAGGGCTCTTTCACAATTCTCAAATCCCACAATTTTCAAATCTCACAAGCTCCAAATTTCACATCTCCCAAATTCTACATCATCCAAATTCCACATCCCCCAAATTCTATATCCCCCAAATTCCACATCTCCCAAATTCTACATCCCCCAAATTCCACATCCCCTAAATTCTATAATTCCCAAATTCCAGACCCCCCCAATTCCACATCTCCAAAATTCCACATCCCCCAAATTCCACATCCCCCAAATTCCACATCCCCCAAATTCCACATTTCCCAAATTCCACAATTCCCAAATTCCACTTCTACCAAATTCCACATTCCCTAAATTCCACATCTCCCAAATTCCACATCTCCTAAATTCCACATCCCCCAAATTCCACATCTCCCAAATTCCACATCTCCCAAATTCCACATCCCCCAAATTCTATATCCCCCAAATTCCACATTCCCCAAATTCCACAATTCCCAAATTCCACATCTCCCAAATTCTACATTCCCTAAATTCCACATCCCCCAAATTCTATAATTCCCAAATTCCAGACCCTCCCAAATTCCACATCTCCCAAATTCTACATCCCCCAAATTCCACATCCCCTAAATTCTATAATTCCCAAATTCCAGACCCCCCCAATTCCACATCCCCCAAATTCCACATCCCCCAAATTCCACATCCCCCAAATTCCACAATTCTCAAATTCCACACCCCCCAAATTCCACATCCTCAAATTCCAAAATTCCCAAATAGAAAAACCTCAAATTCCCATAACCCCAAATCCCACAATCCCCAAATGTTCGACTTTCACCGCTTATTTCTCCACAAAAGGAAGTCCACAGTCGGATGTACATCTGGTTCGCGTTTCACGTTGAAAGGGCGAGGTTCGGTGTAATTGTTTAATTCCGTACTAACTCCACCCGATGGCTGTTATTAAGAGAAACAGATGGACAATTTTTGTCAGCCGGTTACAGAATTCCATCTGTTACGATCTTTATGGTTGATTGTACGGTCTGTTATTGCAGAATATCGACGTGTTACCACTGTCGGATATTATCGCGTTCGAAAACGATCGCGAATAGCAGTTGCTTATGCACCTGTCCATCGTCCACCGATTGTGGTGGTAACGAATCGACGTGGCAATTGCGATACGAGAATATGCCCCTGATGCAATCGGTCGAA